CAGGTTACAGCTGGCTCTGCCTGTCTACAGGCAGAGCCAGCTGTAACCGCCCCCTCCCCGTCCGTTCCGCCAGTCAGCGCTGGAGGATCGGAGCGGGGAGGGGGGAATCCAGTCCCTCCCCTGTCACGGCAGAGAGCTGTGACAAGATCGAGAAGTGAGCGAACGCCGGTATGTGTTTGCTCACTTCCCGATCTACTGAGCCGACCTGTGACAGTCTCATTGTAACAGGTCGGCTAGAACTATGAGGTGAGTGAAAAGCACTCACCTCATAGTTCTCCTTTAATGCTAAAGACATCCTGCCACTCATCAAGTAGCTTCCCCAGTTCTAATGTGTGTCAGTAACATCTTGCGACATTTTAAAAACATAAAAAATAAACTGTACAGACCCATGTTAAGTCTATTGGGAATCGGATGTAAGCAGACGTGTGTCCATTTACATCAGATTACCTCCAATCTTTCACGATCAGGTCCACCAAAGCGGAACTCTGTTCAGTGTTTTTTCCGGACCTAGATGGAGTTGGGCGTAATCTGATGTAAATGGACACACATATGTATAGATCTAGCACCTGGGTGAAAGTTCATATAATGTGGGTGTTCTGCACAGTATTGCCCTCTTCTATTGATTCACAAATTACATGAAACGTCAAAAGAGTTACCCAATGTAGTCTACATAAAGGGATTGCCAGAGATTTCAAAGAAAGGGATTACTCACCTATTGTCAACCATTCTCAAGTACTCAACCCTACCCTAGAATCCTTCCTTATTGGATGAATAAGGTCAGAGCACTTTGTTGTTTTATTATAATTAAGTAATCGCAGTTGGTTTCTTGCTACAGGAGCTGCCTACACCTCAGATATCAGTCCCTGGAAATCTGTCTATCTGGTTTCATTTGCAAAACAATTAATTTATTTTAAATACAAAGGCCTTCTTATAGCCCCACATGAACACAAAAGGGTATAATAATACAAATCTTGTTCAGTACATGTACAGGAAGCCACGAGAACCAGATTTCAAAACACTAAAAAAATGAATTTAGCTGCTATAGATTAATGCCTGTTATATACTGATTTTGTCTTGTTGAATAAACCCAAAAAGTGTTTTATTATTAGTGCAGGAGCATTATACTGTATACAGTAGGTACTTCACTTACTTTATCAGCAACGTCTACGCGCGCTTTGTTGCCTAGCAGAAAAGATATTGCCTGGTAATGGCATCCAGCCACAGCAAAGTGAAGAGCTGTACGATCCAGCTAAGGAAAAAGAAAGAGTTTGTCTTGTGTACAGCAAAGTACATCATCAGAATACATCACACAATGGGAAAAAAATAATAACCGAACATCTTTTGTTTTAAAGGAAAAATGTGGTATATTTTCAGTGAGCACATATTATATAAGGCATTATTGCAATATATATAAGAATATCTTTTTCATGTTACTTTCACATTGTACATGTTTGTTCTTCCATAAATTTCTTCCCCAATACACCTACACAATGCATCACAGCACACCACAATGTACAAATAAAAGTTGCAGCAGGACCTATTTTTTTTAATGATTTGAGGAGCATTGCAGTCCATTTATTTTGAATGGGCTACCTAACACAAAATGCTGCAGTGCACCTTAAAGGAGAACTATGGGGTCAGGCTTTTCCCCATAGTTCTCCTTAGGGTAACGGGAGGACACAAACCAGCGTCCTCCCGTCACCCTAGGCTAAGTATACCGCGAGCTACAGCTCGAGGTATACTGAGACGCCGCAGCCGGAGCGGATCCCGACATCGATGCCTGGATCCGCCCAGCTGCGTGAGTGATAGCTGGCTCTGCCTATCTAGAGGCAGAGCCAGCTGTACCCGCCCCCTCCCCGTCCGTTCCGCCAGTTAGCGCTGGCGGATGGGAGCGGGGAGAGGGGAATCCAGCCCATCCCCTGTCACAGCAGAGAGCCGTGACAGGATCGAGAGGTGAGCGAACCCGGTATGTGTTCGCTCACCTCCCGATCTACTGAGCCGACCTGTGACAGTCTCATTGTCACAGGTCGGCTAGAACTATGAGGTCAGTAAAAAGCACTCACCTCATAGTTCTCCTTTTAATGCAAAAAAAATACATACATTGTGGCACAGTATGGTATAGAGCAGTGGTTCTCAACCTATGTAACCTCAGGAACCACATTTGTCCTTGGTCATTAGGTCACAACCCAAGTCACACCGCACTGGTTTTTTGTTTTTTTTTAAGATCCACCCAGTCTCCCTACCTTACGAGAACTGGAGTGGATCCTCAGCCTGTGGTCCAGTGTGAGTTGCTGTGCTGTGATGGAGCTCCATCCATATGTGCATTGCTTGTACAGCTCCCTAGTGCACCCTGTAGAGGTGCCGGAAGCCAGAATGTAATGTCACTGCGGTCCAGGCACTTCTACAGGACACGCGAGGAAGCTGTAAGCAATGCACGTATGGATGAAGCTCCCTCGTGGCCATATCTCCACCCCACCTCATGCTGACACTTGGCAGCGGGCAGCATATTTTGAATGGCTGATCAGCACGAGAACTAACAGTGCTGCTCTAGGGGGAGGCTGAGGAGCTTCTCACCTAGCACCGTGACCCAAGTGAAATAGGCTCATCAGCTTCACGTCTCTGATGCTGTGCTTCTACAAAACATATGAATGCTCGGAATGTCACTCTTCCTTCAAATTCTGTATTGTAAAAAAAAAAAAAATCTAGAACAATCAGTCTAACAGTCTGCAGAAGATGAAAAAAAAAAGCGTGAGGTTTCCCCTAATTCATACTTCTTCTGAAGCTGGAGAGAAGCTCCTAGGTGACATTAGGGGTCCTAGAGACCCTGATGTCTCCATAAAGGTGACCTGTCTGTGTAAATTGGCTATCACATAGGGGGCTTCTTGGCAATAGAATATGTGATAGCAATAAAGTTAAGTGAAATGTTTTATTTTTAGTTTTTAAATTAAAGTTACCCCCAAAAAAATGTAAAGTCAAATATTAAAAAAAAAGTCCCCTGCCCCCACACACACAAATATGCGTCGGATGCGCCTACGTGTAAAAATGGCAATTGCGCCACACGTTACATATCACTGTGAACGTCAGAGTGAGGACAATAATTTTGGGGCCATTCATCACTATTAACACTAAACTGATGAGTGGTAAAAGCTTTTAAAGTGTCGCCTGTGGTCAATTTTGGGTATGGTATTTTTTTTGCGATTTTGCGGGCGCACGCAATTTTAAAGTTGACATGTTTAGTGTCTATTTACCCGACGTGACCCTGTCTTTTATATTTTACCAAAAATATGGGTAAAAATAAATGTTTTTGTAACATAACGTAGGGAAAACAGTTTTTTGCCCCCCAAAATTTACAGTACTTTTTTCATTATAGAGTAAAAAAAACCAAAAAAACAGTGGTGATTAAATCCCGGCTATTCAGGTCCCCAAAAAATGTTAACATAAATTGCAAGGCTATAGTCCGGTCATGCTGACTGGTGACATTTTTGACTGACTGGTCAAAGAACAGGAACTGAGGCAAGAACAGAAAATTGTGCCCAGCCTTCCCCTCCCCGGAGTTATTTTGAGGAAAGTAAATAAATAACAAGGAAATTAATATTAGAACTGTTTATGGGGGGATAGGGATGGAGCAGGGGAGTAAAAGTGATTTTTAAGGGGTGATGGGAACATGAGGTTATGGGGACAGAGAAGGGGAGAAAAGGAGATTTTTAGGGCGTGATGAGGACAGAGCAGGTTATGGCAGAAAATACTCCCAATGCTTTATCATTTATGTTCCTCTTGTGATCCTGGGAACCAGCCAATACACAGCGGCACTGCGTGTGCGTCCGCTTGTTGACTCTTTAGTAAACTGAGGCGATCAGCACTGCAGCCGCTCTCAACTCCCCCCACACCTGGGAACCAGCCAATAAGCGGCAGAGGTGCACGTGAGTGATATGGTAATGTGAAGTGATCAGCACTGCATCCAAATCCCAAAGCACCCGTCCACCTCTTACCCCGGCCAGGCACCAGGTCCAGGGCTGGCCCTGGCTGCGGCCCCTCACAGCTGCGCCCGAGGTGAGTGCCTCACTCGCCTCACCTTTTCTACAGCACTGCTATCCTTTACAATATTGAAAACTAGAAAAAAGTTTTGGCTTCAACTAGGGATGCACTGATACCGATACTAGTATCTGTGCCGATACTTAGTATTTGGGCGAGCTAGACCGATACTTCCGGCATCAGGAAGCCGGGCAGCGCGTCTGTGCCCGGCTTCCTGATTGGCTGGGAAGCCGACTCCATGCTCACTCGTCACTTGTGACGAGAGAGCATGGAGTTGGCTTTCCAGCCAATCAGGAAGCTGGGCAGGGTGTAATGACGTGCTGCCCGGCTTCCTGATTGGTTGGGAAGCTGGCAAATCAGGAAGCCGGGTGCCTCATGACGAGAGAGAGCATGGAGCCGGCTTCCCGGCCAATCAGGAAGCTGGGAGCCGCGTCATTACACGGCGCCCGGCTTCCATGTTTGTCCAGTAAGTCTGCTACATGCTTTCTCGTCACATAGTGACGAGAAGCATGGGGACGGCTTCCTGGGATAGCTGGGTGGTGAGTCTTTACACGCTGCCCGGCTTCCCGGCTAACCAGGAAGCCAGATGGCAAGTCATTACACGCCGCCTAGCTTACTGAATAGAGTATAATGTCACTTTAAGATTATTATTTATTTTCAACAAAACTTGAGTTTCACAAAGTTTAAATATCTATCAGTGAATTTTATTTTAGCTGCTTGCTAGAGACTTACAGCACCATTAATACTGTATACTTGTGTTTATACTGCAAACCATGTTCCCTTTTTTCCTTTGCTCCTGGCAAGTTGTATTGGTTGAATGGAAGGGATATAAGAAGCTAGCATTCTATAACCAAATTGGATGTATACAACTACTTACAGCATTCTTAGCATTGATGTTCACTTTCCGTCCTTTGAGCTGGGTCATTTTATCCACATTATTTGTCTTGGCTGCTTGGTGGAACTCCATTTCAGTTTTCAGCACTAGAGAAGATACAATATAGGTGCGAAGATTGTGCATAAGATTGATATTGTGGGTTTTTTTTTTTTTAAAGTACTATTTATTAATTTTCCAATATGCATATAAAGTTACAAACATCGCCCACCGAAGTGGGGGCACATACTTAAAAACAACATAATTATTATACAAAACATTTCACCCCCAAATCACCCCGAATCCTGGAATAGAGGTTCTGATAGTAGGAATATAATTCCTGTAGGATGGCCTGCGGTTCGGTGACTCTATCCCCCCTGTCAGTCAAAATACATGGAACTGTGGTAAGATTTCTCTGATCCGCAACCAGCAAGGCCAGGAACTTTCCATTTTTGTCCCACCCTTCAAACAGCGACTCACGCAGTTCCCTTAAGGAGCATCTAGTCATCTCAACATGATGGAGGTTCAGCACCCGTTGTGCCACCCGGAGCTCCTCCAAAGATGTCTCCCCAGGGGAAGTTGCAAAGGCCGCAGCAGATGCTGATTCCGTCCTCCTGAAGTTCATCTAGAACCGCATTGAATTCTACACGAGAAGCTTTGATAGCAGATACAAATTCCCCACGTACATTTGCCTTAAATGCATCGCACACAACATTGGTAGAAGCAGTACCCTCATTTGTTTCCCAGTATCTCTCCATAGCAGGGAGCACTCTGCTGGATACCATTTCCACGCTCAGCCAACTCGGTGACAATCTCCAACACCCGGAACTCCTAGGGCCCGGTAGCAACAGGGAAACGGTGAGCGTGACATGGTCCGACAGACCACCAGGTAAATAGGATGCCCCGACCACCAGGTTAAGTAGGTTCCTGTTGCCAAAGGCCATATCTATTCGAGCCGAGGAGCCATGGGTGTGTGAGAGATGGGAGTATGCACGGTGTCCCGGGTTTTTCCACCTCCAGACTTCCTCCAACCCAGCCGTGTCCGCCCAGGATACAAGATCCAGGCCAGCAGGCCTGGCTACATTAGAGGAGTCCAGGGAGGGGTCTAAAATGTTGTTGAAGTCTCCCGCTATGAGGACTGGTATGGGGAGATAGGCAGCGAGTTTATGGAAAACCGTATACAATATCTGCACATTGAACGGTGGTGGTACATATACATTAACAATAGCAAACTGTATCACATGGACATTCATGACCAAAATAAGGAATCGGCCCCGAGGATCCACTATGGTATGGATAATGGAGCATGGGAGGGATCTGCTGATCAAAATAGACACCCTTCTGGCATACACTGAATAAGTAGCATGGAACGTTTTCTGTAGCCAAGGGCGTCTCAACGACAACATTTTGCTACCCGTTAAATGGGTTTCCTGTAAAAGGATAATGTGCGGTCTCTGTTGTTTCAGACAATTCAGGATCATAGAATGCTTACATTTATCGTTGAGACCCCTCACATTCCATGAGAGAATATTAAGGCGTTCCCCCATATAAAGGCCCTAGGTACATATGTGGCCCAGGATAAAATAACAAACACCATGAGCCAGTTAGAGATAGGACAAGCAGTGGTAACCTGCTGCTCAGAGCATGTAAATGGCATAGCATCCCCCGTTTAACATCCCCCCCCTCCCATAACACTTAAACTAAACCCCTTGCTTGCTAGTAAGAAAATTAACAACTAGAAGCTTGTACCCAAAAACTCCCTACCGATTGTCAGAGCACCCCCAGTAAGAAGTGTCCCAGTTAAAAATGCAAAAATCTAAAAAGAACCAAAAAAAGGGCAAACAGTAGATCGTGTATCGTGTGTATCGTGGTGGAGAATCCGCCGCCTCCTATGAAACATAAGGCCTGTCACATAGGGCCGAGGCATCAGTGTCGTAGCGTTCAAATGAGTCTAAAGATGAAGATTCTGTGGATCTCATCCCCAGCTCAGGGGCCACCTTATAGCATACATCAGGTAGGTAAGATGGGAAGAAGCAGCAACAGCAACTAGACAGGGCACCCCAAAGATGGAGACTCCAGAGTAACTCTCAGTAAAACCACAGGAAAAATCAGGGAAAAATCGAAGTTGCGCCTTCCCACAGCTGACATCAAGGCATCTACGAGCAGCAGCTATGATCTTGTCTCTGTCCCTGTAGTTCAGGAGGCGAGCCAGAAATGGACAGGGAGGGGCCCCCGGCGGTGCCCTACCCGTGGGAACTCAGTGAGCACGTTCAACCACGAAAGTTGGAGGCAGCTCATCCAGCCCCAGGACCCTCTTAAATAGAGCCTCAGCAAACTTTACTGGGTCCGCACCCTCTTCACCCTCCGACATCCCAACAATGTGTACGTGCGGTTTTCGGCATCATCAACTTTGGCAGCCAGGAAATGGCCAGTGCGCTGCAATTCTATAAGTGTATCAGTATGTCCATGCACCATGTCCTCCACATCTGACACCCTGGTCTCTGCAGCTGTTATGCGGGTATGGATCTTGTCCAGATCATGGCAGATCAGAGTGCACTCTGCCGCCAAATAATCAATTTTAGGGGTGAGGGTGACTTGGCAACCCTCGATTGCCGCCAGTATGGCTGATGTCCCTAGTCCCGCTGGAACTGGTGTAGTTGCATGGTCCGCGGGCATAGAAGTCTGCGGCAAGGTAGCACTCACCCCCTCCACGCCATCTCCCTCCATGTCCAGCCGCTGTACAGGAGACGCAGGGACGGAAGCCGGCGAGGCCAAGATGGCGCCGGCTGATCCCACGCCTGAGCCCTTCGCCTTTCGAGCGGATCTCCGAAGAGCTGCGGCCTGCCGACAAGACTTGGCGGACATAGATTTGGTCCTGGGTAAGTCCTGCACAGGATGGGTGACAGTTGGGGCACGGGAATCAAGCCAGGCAGGAGAAATAACAGGATAATGGCGTTGGAAGCAGCGGAGCTCCACCAGGCACGTGTGGTCAGCTTCACATCGTAGCCACGCCCCCGATGTTGTGGGTTTGAATGTATATCAGTTTGATATCATAGTTTTTATAGGTATCAGGGGCGGATCCAAAGTCTAGTCTCGGGAGGGGCACTGCCAGAAAATAAGCCCCCCAAATCTGGCTCTTCCATTGCCACTGTGCCCATCTCTCTCCAGAGTGCGGAGGTCAGTAAAATGACGCAGAGGTCAGTAAAGTGACGCAGTGCGCGGAGGTCAGTAATGTGACGCAGCGCGCGGGGGTCAGTAATGTGACGCAGCGCGCGGAGGTCAGTAAGGTGACGCAGCGCGCGGAGGTCAGTAATGTGACGCAGCGCGCGGAGGTCAGTAATGTGACGAAGTGCGGAGGTCAGTAAGGTGACACAGTGCGGAAGTTAGTAAGGTGACGCAGTGGGGAGGTCAGTAAGGTGATTCAGTGTGCGTAGGACAGTAATGTGACCCAGTGCGCAGAGGTCAGTAATGTGACGCAGTGCGGAAGTCAGCAAGGTGACACAGTGAGGAGGTCCGTAAGGTGACGCAGTGGGAAGGTCAGTGGGGTAAGATAGAAAAGGGACTTACAGTGGTGATGTGCTTTGTCCTCATGCCCTCTTCTTCCTATCAGGGTGGTGGAAGCATCAATGTCTCCTCCATGTGCAGCCCCAAGCAGCCTTGTTGTGCCTCCTCTGCAGGTCCCTTCCCGCTCTGCTGAAAAATACCCAGGCAGCCAATGATGGTGCTGCACCTTCCCTCCCAGCCAATAGCAGCAGAGGTGGGCGGAGGAACATAGGAGCATGTACGGCGATTCCTCTCCTCAGCGGCAGAGCCGAGCTGACAGGAGATCGTGCCTGCAGCAGCGGCGGCCGCTTCTCAGTGGAATCAGGGGAGGTGACGCAGTGCGGAGGTCAGTAAGATGACGCAGTGCGGAGGTCAGTAAGATGACGCAGTGCGGAGGTCAGTAAGATGACACAGTGTGGAGCTCAGTACGGTGACGCAGTGCGGAAGTTAGTAAGATGACGCAGTGCGGAGCTCAGTAAGGTGACGCAGTGGGGAGGTCAGTAATGTGACGCAGTGCGGAGGTCAGCAAGGTGGCGCAGTGCGGAGGTCAGTAAGGTGACGTGGTGCGGAGCTCAGTAAGGTGATGCAGTGGGAAGGTCAGTGGTGTAAGATAGAAAAGGGACTTACAGTGGTGATGTGCTCTGTCCTCATGCCCTCTTCTTCCTCTCTGAGTGGTGGTGGGGGGAGGGGACGCCTATGATGCCCGCACAGCGGCCGGGACATACAGCTGTCACAGAGTTTACTGTGGTTCAGTGTAAAAACCGGCATAGTACTTAGTGTGCCGTTTTTTTACACTGAACTGCAGTTACCTCTTTGACAGTGACAGCTGTATGTCCTGGCCGCTGTGCGGGGATGTACTCCTCTCACTACTACTGCGGGTGGGAGCGGCTCTATCTCTGAGGGGGGGGGGGGGGGGATTCCCCCGTTG